AAAAGGGACCAGAAGAGAGGAGGCAGAAGGCGTAAGAAACGCCAAGGACCCAGAGATGGAACTGAATAGCAGGATTTGAACCTGCGACCGGTGCACGGCAATGAATGAATGGTGGATCGCAGAGGAGGATGCGTAGTACCATGTGGCTGAAAGATGCACGCAAGTAACTGTCGGGGAGCAGATCAAGAGTCAGATGGAATTTTATGTTGTTTAATTATTATTATTATCTAGACGTTGTACTCAAGAGTCCATGCACGAGACGGCGAGTGAGAGGAGGGGGAGGAGAGGAAGGGGAGAGGGGGAGGAGAGGGGGGGGGAGAGGGGGGAGGAGAGGCAATGGCGTGCGAGAACAGGCGCGAGCAGCGGCACGCTGTGACCGGACCCGAGAGTCAACAGCCTCGCACTGATGAAAACGACGGAAAAAGGGAAAGGAGGTCGTTTCCCAAGGAGGACGCAGTGCTTGACATGGAGGGTACAGAATGGTAGAGGAGGGGGAGGAGAAGGGGGAGGAGTACGGGGAGGAGGAGGTGGTAGAGGAGGGGGAGAAGGTGGTAGAGGAGGCGGAGGAGGAGGAGGGCGAGGAGGTGGAGGAGGAGGCGGGGGAGGTGCTGAAAAAACAAGTTAGATTTCGGCAGGAGAGAAGACAGAACACGACAAAACGTCGTCGATGGAGCCTGATGGTTGGGAGGAGGAGAGAGGGTGAAGAGGGGATAAGCTCCACTCACCAAAACCGGTTGATCACAAGGAGGATTCGCGGCGATCGTGCAACGGACGCAATAACGGCGAGCGCGACACCAGCTGAGTTCGGTGTGGCACGGGCAGGGGCCACCGCACGGCACACGGCACGGCACCGCACGGCGCACGGCACGTCAAACGGCACGGCTCGGCTGATAGTAAGCAACCTCCCGGCAGGCGGTTGATACGAACGAAATATTGCCTTCTGCACTGCTGTTCGGCCGCAGACAAGTACTTCGAAGGGTCACGAAATGGGCGTTAGCTACCCCACGGCAATCGGAGCGATACTGACATAGCGTGAAGGCACGGTAGGCAGCCCGTAGGCTGTTTGTGGACTTGCATGCTGAAAGATGCTTGAGAGGCAGGAGGAGCATGCTGAGGGATGCTGGAGAGGCAGGAGGAGAGTAAGTTGGCAGCCCCAAGGCTGAGGTTCCAGTCCAGTAGGGTCGTGCACCTGGGTTGGCAATTTTCGTTCCTCCAGCTGAGGAGCGGAGCCCTAAATTCTCAGGCTAAACCGCTTGTGCTGCAGCTGCCCGTGGTGGGTGGGGTTTGTAGGGTTTTCTTGTTGTCAAGGGGCCAGGCTTGCGAGAATAGTTTTTGGCGTGGACTGCTTTAGTTGGAGTACCAGTGGCTGAATACAGGGTCAAAACGTCCGGACATGCAACTTGGGCCTGTGGACGGCGAGGCGCTCCTTCCTCTGCTTGTAGGGTTGGGGAAGGGCAGGTACAGTCCTTCAGATGGTCGTTTCATTTCATCTGCGCTTACGGCATGTGGCATTTTGCTAAAAATGCTAAAATGCCATACTGAAGGACAACTCTCTCTCTCTCTCTCTCTCTCTCTCTCTCTCTCTCTCTCTCTCTCTCTCTCTCTCTCTCTCTCTC